CGCAACGGTCAGGGGGCCGGCTAGGGACGAGCGCGACGGTCAGGGGGCCGGCTAGGGACAGGCGCGAACGACCAGGGGGCCGGCTAGGGACGAGCGAGAACGGCCAGGGGGCCGGCTAGGGACGGGCGCGAACGGCCAGGAAGCCATCTAGAGACGGGTGCGACGGCCAGGGGGCCGGCTAGGGACGAGCGCGACGGCCAGGGGCCGGCTAGGGACAGGCGCGAATGACCAGGGGGCCGACTAGGGACATGCGAGAACGACCAGGGGGCCGGCTAGGGACGGGCGCGAACGGCCAGGGGGCCGGCTAGGAACGTAGGGGCGGAAGCGTGAGTGGGCTAGGGGGGGGGGATCGAACCTACTATGATACCATAACAAAATGTAATAATGATTAGGGAGAGAGAGAGAGAGTACAAGGGTATATACCTAAGAGTTGTACCCTCTAAGAGGTGAACCTATACAGTCTATACAAACATAACAGATATATGTTTGACAGACTGGGCCTGGGTGACCTGTGTATGTACGTATCAGGCCCCCAAATTGCATACTTTTTACTCTGATTCAGACCTTTTTCAGACTTATTTGGGGTATGTAGTACGTACTCTGATTGAGAAGACTTTTTTTTTGTACTTGACTCTGATTTTTCAGAGAAGATTTATGTACCTATGCTGATTTTTCAGAGTTTTTCTACTAGTGTACTCTGATGCCTCAACTTTGTATGGGGGGTGACTCTGATTTGTGTAATACCGGAGGAGCGTGATTTACCTGTGAGGGAAGCTGATGGGCCCTTTGTCTGAAAGCTAGTTAAACTAGGAAGTAGGGAAGCCCGCCATGAAATGGCGGGTGGGTTTAGGTAGGAGGGAAATTGTCGAGAGAGAAGAATAACGACTAGAAGAGAATGAGGTACAAGAAGGGGGTTATCCCCTCTACAGTAGGATGCAGTTATTAGCATAACTACCAAGCCTACAATTATATAAAATATAATTTTAACACTCTTAGCCAAAATCAGAGCGCAATGCTTGCGGGGGGCTTTGTGAGGGCGGTTACTGGCCCTTCACCAAAATCAAAGGCCAGTGTGTAATGGGGGCTGTGTGAAGGAGCTGACTGGCCCTTTACCAAAATCACCTCCCACTTCGTGCAGGGTGCGTGTGTGAGGGGCCGATTAGCCCTTGAAAAAAATTACCGATGTTTGCTGCGGGTTGTGTGTGCGAGGGCGCCCATTGGCCCTTAACAAAATAGCCACGTGGATGGCGCGATTTCCCTCCCTCCCTGCAATTTTGCTTTGCCCGCCCCCCAATTCCTTTCTGCCCACCCCATTTGTGCTGGCGCGGGGCCGGGTCGAGGGTGACGCGAAATTCTGTGTACTGTCGCCAGTACACAGATACAGTGGTGGAAAGTATTGTCCACATGTTTGTGACTTGGAGGAATTTTGCCATTTTAGGGGGTCATGGACATTAAGCCTTAATCTTTTGGTGTGCCTGGTGTATGTAGGTTGGGGTAAGGCTCTACGCCCATGCCTTACATCTCACAAAGATATTGATGTTTACAACAAATAACAGAAATTAACAATCATGGTACATGCGGACAATTATTATCAAGCACAAGCAGCAAGTTACATCACCCTCCTGGGCATGCTTTCCACCAGGTGGGTGCGCACATCCGCCGGGATCTTCTCCCATTCCTCCTGCACACGCTCCCAAAGGTCCAGCATACCAGTGGGAGGCTTCTCGTGCTTGGCCAGCTGCCTCTTGAGGTGAGCCCATAAATGCTCTATTGGGTTGAGGTCGGGTGAGGAAGACAGCCAGTCTAGCACCCCAAACTCTTGCTCTCTAAGCCACTCCTGCACGATACGCGACTTGCGCTTCGGGTCGTTGTCGTGCTGGAAGATAGTTTCCGAGGGTGAAAGCTGGTAAAACTCAATCGTACTATTGAGCTCGTCCTGCAGTATACTCAGATAGAGCGGTCCGTCCATCCTACCGTATATTTTGCACATGAAACCCGCGCCATCATACGACATGCACCCCCAAATCATCAAGCAGACGCCCTCGTGTTTGACGGTCTGCTTGATTTGGTGGCATTGGAGGGCAGCACCTTCGCGAACCCAGGCATAGGAGCGTCCGTCGGAAGCAAACCAATTGATCTTGGTCTCATCCGACCAGATCACCCACTTCCAGTCGTCAACCGTCCAGTCGGCGTGGGCACGGGCCCATTCTAGCCTATCGCATATGTTTTTTCGAGAGAGTCGCGGCTTCGTCGGCTGCTGGATGGCGACAAGTCCGCTGCTATTCAAAGCATTATGCACCGTCCTAGGATGCAGCGTGATGACGTGCTGCATCTTGACAATCTTCGCCGCGTGAGCGGAGGTTTTGGCCTTCCCGGTAGCAATCGACTGAACTATGCCGCGGCGAATTCTCTCTGTCACTAAGCGAGGGCGACCAGCTGAGGGCATCGTAGGACGCACGGCATCGTGGCTAGACTCTTCAATCGCCTTAAGTCCATAATCGTGGGCAGTGCTCTTGCCCACGCCTAGCTGTTTAGCGATTCGACGAGCGCTATACCCCACCCACAACAGGGTAATGATCCGTGCGCGGCGCACCTCATCTATCGGTTTCATGACGGCCTAATCGTCGCAGCGGTCCTAGCCTATCTCATGACTACTTGATAGTCGCGAGGGCAAGTAAGCAGAAAAAGCGAGGTTAGGAAATAGATCTAGTACGCTGCTTCGCTTGAACTGGCCGGATGCACACACGCGAACGAAATCTCATCCTCGGTAAAAGATTGACCCCTATAAAACTTAACCAAGCATCCGTCACATACACTACAGTACTACTTTACAGCCAATACCGAAATTTGATGCGTAACTGAACAGAAAAGGCACCAAACCGGTACAAGAAATGTTTTAAGGCAATTATCCGGGCAATACTTTCTGCCACTGTAGTAAGAGCACGCAAGAAAAGAGAGCCCCTGGATTAGGAAAGGGAAGGAGAAAATAAACATTCAGAATGTTAAATGATACATGTTAGTATATAATTGTAGGCTTGGAAGACGTTGTTGGTGCAACCCTTTGGCTTGCACTCGGCTTGTCGTCCTTGTTTGTGTATGTGCATGCATGGCATGGAATGACTTGTGAGTCTATGTTATTGCTATCTAGTACTTGTGTGTGTGTTTGAATGGTGTATCACAATGTGGTTTGTGTCAGTCAAGACATTAGCAAGTTTTCACTACTCGCATGTCAAGTCGTCGTTTGCACGTCGCATATGCTTTCTCTATTTTGTCGAGTGTGAAGTGTCCATCTACTCGCAGGTGTATGCAGCAAGCCCTCATCATCTCAGGAAGAACTGATCTTGCTGACTCAAGACCAAGAGCTCAAGATTTCAAGCCCAAGGGACGTGGACAAATATTTGAATAGTGAAAATAGTATTGCTACTTAAAGTAGTGTTACATTTCACTTGGTGTAGCCCCTTGTTGGGTTTGTTTCGAGTCTCCTCATGGTTGGGGACTCTGTGGTGGTGTACCACCAACTGGGACCTCGGCTCTTGGGGTATGCAGAGGCTCCAAAACCATCCCTACCTCGAATTCTTCTTCCTACGTTTTTGTACTCCTAAGACTATAGTGGCTGCTGTACCTCCTGCCAGTCAAACCGCCATAGCGTCGTCAAATCTTCATGGAGGTTTATGATTCAACTTGCTGCTGATAGGCCACAGCAACGCGCTCCAGATCCAATTTATAGATCACCGTTTGAGGCACACATCAGATCGGCATCAATATCTGAAGCTGTCTGACGGAATTCTGACAGTGCACATTTTCTCTCATTTTAGGCACATCTAAGCCTATTGTGATTATATCAGATCCACCCATTGCTCCCGTGCAACCTAGCCTTGGCCCCTCTAGGGATGAGCCTAGAGTGTTTGGGCTTGACAAGTTCAACGGTGATAACTTTGCTGAGTGGTCCTTCAAGATGGAGAACATCTTTGACCACTATGATCTGCTGGAGGTGATGGAAGGAATGGAGAAGCACCCCGAGAACGACCCGGAGAAGAGCCTGTGGGTGCGGAAGAGCGTACAAGGCGATCTTCTACTTGGGCAAGCGTTGGGGAGCAGCCAAATCCGTCACATCAAGCCTTTTCAGCGTGAACCAGCAAAGGGACCAAAGGCATGGGCTGCTCTCAAGGGTGTACACGCTCCTGCAACAGCGGCGGTGGCTGTGGTTTTGGAGCGGCAAATGGCGGCACTTCGAATTGACGAAGGCGAACCCGTAGAGGAAGGAGTGCAGAAATTCTTCGACTTGTTGACACGGCTCGAAGGAGCTGACCTGAACTATAGTGACCTTCAAAAGAAGACGAAGCTGCTGGCCTTACTTCCGGACTCATGGTCCTCGCTCATCATCAACCTAAATCGAGATCTGCCCCGCCTCTCGCTCGAAGATGTGAAGCGGGAAATCTTACAATAAGATTTCCGCCGTCGCGAATTGGCGGGTCCCGATGGTGCCGGAGTTGCAAGCATGGGCCGTGGGCATGGCTGTGGAAGGGGCAGAGGGCGAGGAGGAAGATTTGGCAGCAGTAAATTCAATGGAGGCCGTGGTAATGGAGGATATGGCAGCAACAACAACAACAATGGCTACGGGCGTGGGCGCCGTCGATTTGATGGCGAATGTCACTTTTGCCACAAGACCGGCCACATATGGAGAGATTGCTTCAGATTGTCTGATGGATGGACCCCTTCTCAAGGCCAAGAGGGCAGAGGAGCAAGTGGAGGAAGAGGCAGAGGTCGTGGAGGCCGTGGTGGTCGTGGAAGTGAAGCGGCATGCATGAAAGGTGGAGACTACGAGACGGGCCCGAGTGAAGATCGATACCCGGGCCAATTCTTCTTTGTCTCCACGCAAGCAGCAGCTGCAGCAGGAGGTGTGGAAGGCTTTGAGGAGCCAGCTACTGTGGGAAAGGTCACCCTTCACTCTCTGGACTTTTGGGTGATCGATAGCGGCGCCACCTATAGCATGACACCTCGTGCGGACTTGCTCACCGAACTCGAACCGTCGCCGGTCAAGCATGTTACATCGGCTTTGGGGCAGCGAGCAGAGGTGAAAGGCATGGGCAAGGCCATGTTCAAGGGCGCTGATGGGAAGATGGTGGGCCTCAAGAACGTGCTTTGGGTGCCCAACCTAGCAGCCAACCTGATTTCTGTGCGGCGTTTGCAAAAGGCCGGCATGGACACATCTTCCAAGGGATCGAAAACTTTTACCGCGAGGCTTGGTGAGCGGAAGCTTTGGGACCTTCATGAGGACAGGGACATCTACAATGAGATGTGGCAAATTCCAGTGGTCCCCATGCCTAAGGATAGGCAAGTGGCAGCAAGTGTCAGCACCAAGAGTGAAGCGGTTGGTGGTGGTGATCACGGAAAGCAAAGTGACACCAAGAGTGACTCGAAGGAGTGCAATCTTGGAGAGACCAGCAAGGCGTGTGAATCCAAGGAGAGTGGTGCAGCAGCCAAGCATGGTGGAAATGATAAGGAGAAGCAAAAGATCAGCAAAGCAGCAGCGGCAAAGGAGAAAGGAGAGAGCTTGTGGGGCACAGTTGCGAGTGCCGCTTTCTCCGACTTCCGCTACAAGAGAGTGTGATTGGCTGACCTTGCATCGGCGAATGGGGCATGTGGCATTGCCCATTTTGCAGCAGATTGTTAAGCAAGAGATGGTCAGTGGGATATGTGTCAAGGGGGAGCCCAATGAGGTACTTGGCTGTCCAACATGCATGCAAGCCAAGTTCACCCGCTACCCGTTCCATAGCTCGGAGACAACGGCGAAGGCACCACTTGATGAGGTGGTGATGGATGTGGTGGGCCCCTTGAAGCTTGGAGCTGCTGGAGCTGAGTACTTCCTCACCATTGTGGACGTCTACACTCGCATGACTTGGGTGTATGTGCTGCCGAAGAAGAGTGACGTAGCTGAGACGGTGAAGACCGATTGGTTGCCGATGGTGGAGCGGCAACATGACCGGCTTGTGAAGGCCATTCGCACTGACCGTGGGGGAGAGTTCCTGAGCAAGGATTTCTCAACTTGGCTGAAGAAGCAGGGCATAAGGCACTCTCTTATCATGCCCTACTCTCCTGCAATGAACGGCATCGCCGAGCGTGCGAATCGGACACTCACGGAGACGGCTCGGGGACTTCTCATTGAAGCCGGTCTACCCAATTACTTTTGGCCGGATGCGGTGCGGCATGCTTGTGTGGCCAAGAACAGAGCCTTGACTCACATGGGAGAAGACAAATGGGTTCCCTATGTGGAGTGGATTGGAAGGAAGCCGAAGGTGGATATGCTTCGGGTGTTCGGGTGCATGTGCATGGCACTTGTGCCTAAGAAACTTCGGCACAACAAGCTTGATGCCAAGGCAACATGGGCCGTGCACTTGGGCATGGCTCAAAACAGCAAGGGATGGCTTCTTTGGGACCCATTTACCAAGAAGTTCCTGGTGAGCAGAGATTGCAAGTTCATGGAGAACTTACCGTACAAGGAGTGGAAGGCGGAGAACCAAGCGAAGATTGGTGTGCGGCTTGGAGAGGTGAAGAGTACCGGATTAGAGCATGTGGAGCTGCCCTTGGAGCTGAGTAGCAGCAGCACTATCACAAGGCAATCTCCTCAAATGAATGGGGGAGAAGAGGAGGAGGAGGTGCAGCAAGGTGATGAGCGTGCACCGTCACTTCCGCCTCGTGCTACAAGTGCTCGCGGGAACCGAGCAGATTTGCAGCAACGCCATGAGAGCATCCAAGTCCCTGCAGCAGAGGAGGAAGGAAGGGGGAGAAGGAGGTCTCAGCCCCCCAATAGGTTGAGCTATGAACGGCTTGGAGGACCAGCCAACTCAACCTTGACTGGTTCGGCTCTCATGCTAGGCGATGATGCGGAAGATGAAAGCGAGGAGTGCGCTTTTGCCTTCTTCTCTCCGGTGGAGATGCCGGGGGAGCCTACAAATCCCAAGGAGGCTTGGGAGGGCCCCAATGGGAAGGAGTGGAAGAAGGCCTCAGATGAAGAAATGGGGAGCATCATAGAGAACGCCACGTTTGACTTGGTGGACCTTCCTTCGGGGCGTAAGGCGATTTCGTCCAAGTGGCTCTTCAAGCGCAAGACCGACGCCGACGGCAACATTGAGTGCTACAAGAGCAGACTTGTAGCCAAGGGGTACCAGCAGCAGGAGAAGAAGGACTACAATGAAGTATATGCTCCTGTGGTGAAGGGTACAACCCTTCGAACTCTCTTCGGTGGCCATCAAAGGATGGGTGGTGAAGCAAATGGATATAGTAACGGCCTTCCTCAACGGCGTTTTGGAGGAAGAGACCTTCATGGAGCAGCCAGAGGGGTACAATGATGGTAGTGGCAGAGTGTGGAAGCTGAAGAAAGCCCTCTATGGCATCAAGCAAGCCCCTAGGCAATGGTACATCAAGCTGTGGGAAGTCTTGGAGGCGATCGGCTTCACTCCCTCAACGGCCGATCAATTGTTGTTCATGCTTGGCGAGGGGGAGCAGAGGAGCTTCATGGTGGTTTATGTGGATGACATCCTCATATTCTCACCCTCCTCTGACCTTGTGAAGGAGGTGATGCTGAAGCTTCAAGACAAGTTCAAGTGCAAGACCCTTGGTGACGTCAACTACTACCTTGGGCTTCACATTGAGCGAGATGCGGAGAAGCGGTGGATGCGAGTGCATCAAAAGAAGTACTTGGAGACCTTGGCTGCAAACTTTGGGAAGAGTGAAGGTCATTTGGCTACTCCTCTACCCTCAGGGTTCAAGTGTGTGAAGGGACCAGCGGAGGAAAGTGTTGGTGAAGAGGAGAGGCGCCGTTTTCATTCCTTGGTGGGCAGCCTCCTGTATGCGGCCGTTCACACAAGGCCGGATGCAGCCTTTGCTACCGGGCAGCTAGCTAGGGTTGTCCAATGCCCTAATGAAGAGCAGGTAGCAGCTGGAGAGAGGGTGGCCAAGTACATTTGGCCAAACAGCAACTGTTGGACTGCAATACTCCGCGGCGGCACAAAGGCGTCAAAAGGGTGCGGATGGAGTCGAACCCAGGAGGCTCTTTCTCACCGCCTTCTCTGATGCATCTTTGGCATCAGAACCAGAGGACATGACAAGTGTGGGAGGCTTCATCTGCTGTGTTGGTGGAGGACCAACAGCTTGGGAGAGCAAGAAACAAGTGGACCAAGCATTGAGCTCGTTGGAGTCCGAGTACATGGCACTCTTCCGTGCCATAAGAGAGGTTGTGTGGCAGCGGCGTTTGCTAGCTGAATTGGGGGAGGAGCAGCAAGGACCTACCCCACTCTACTGTGATAGCCAGGGTGCTATTGCATTGGCAAAGAACCCCGTTCTTCATGGTCTTACCAAGCACATGAAGGTGAAGTGGCATTGGGTGAGGAGCATGGTAACCGCGGGTGAAGTGGGGTTGCACTAGGTGAAGACGACGGCGCAGCCAGCTGATATGATGACCAAGAGGCTGGTTGAGCAGCAGCATTGGAAGTGTTGCAAGCTTGCTGGGATGGCTCTGAACTAAGGGGAGCAGATTCTAAGGCCAACAATCCGAGGGGGAGTTTGTTGATGCAACCCTATGGCTTGCACTCGGCTTGTCGTCCTTGTTTGTGTGTGTGCATGCATGGCATGGAATGAATTGTGAGTCTATGTCATTGCTATCCAGTGCTTGTGTGGGTGTTTGAATGGTGTATCACAATGTGGTTTGTGTCGGTCAAGACATTAGTGAGTTTTTACAACTCGCATGTCAAGTCGTCGTTTGCACGTCGCATGTGCTTTCTCTATTTTGTCGAGTGTGAAGTGTCCATCTCATCGCAGGTGTGTGCAGCAAGCCCTCATCATCTCAGGAAGAACTGATCTTGCTGAACCAAGACCAAGAGCTCAAGATTTCAAGCCCAAGGGACGTGGACAAATATTTGAATAGTGAAAATAGTAATGCTACTTCAAGTAGTGTTACATTTCATTTGGTGTAGCCCCTTGTTGGGTTTGTTTCGAGTCTTCTCATGGTTGGGGACTCTGTGGTGGTGTACCACCAACTTGGACCTCGGCTCTTGGGGTATGTAGAGGCTGGGAACCATCCCTACCTCGAATTCTTCTTCCTACGTTTTTGTACTCCTAAGACTATAGTGGCTGCTGTACCTCCTGCCAGTCAAACCACCATACCGTCGTCAAATCTTCATGGAATTTTATGATTCAACCTGCTGCGGATAGGCAAGAGCAACGCGCTCCAGATCTAATTTACAGATCACCGTTTGAGGCACACATCAGATCAGCATCAATATTTGAAGCTGTCTAACGAAATTCTGACTGTGCACATTTTCTCTCATTTTAGGCACATCTGAGCCTATTGTGATGATAACAGACGTTACTGAACATTACTGTAGAGGGTACAACACCCCTCCTTGTATCCCTCTCTCTTATTTTCTAAACCCTCTTTCCTCTCGTAAAACTCTCCCTCCTAGTTCTCCTAGCTCCTAAAACCTCACGCCACTTTCATGGCGTCCTAGTTCCTAGTTTTGACATGGTTTCAGAGCAGGACGCCCTTCCCGGGCCTGCTCTCCACGCTTCCACCGCGTACCTGTCCTTACTTGGCCTCCGTCGCGGCCTTCTGTTTGCCTGCCACCGTGGCACATTTTCCGAGATGCCATGGCGGCCTCTGTGTGCTGTTGTCTCAGCGTCGACGAGCAGCCGCGGCTCCGACGCCACGCTGTGGTGGCGTCGTAGTGGTGCCGTGGCGGTGTCGTCGGCCTGTTGCCGTCGCGCACCACCTGCGTCGCTGCTGGACTTGCAGCCTGCCCACACACCAGTAAGCCCCACCCCTTCCCCCTTCCCTCTGTCTCCTCCTTCTCATCACAGCCGCCGCCTGACTCTCGCTGGTCGTCCCCTTGTCGCGGAGTTTGGACACACCGCCGAAAGGGCAGGGGCTGCTGCCATTACCGGAGTCGTAAGCCGAAGCCGACACCGTCGCCGCTGTCATCACCGCAGGCCTGTTGCCGCCGCACGCCGCCGTCGCCGTCGCTGTCGCCGCTGCCGGGACTGCCGTCGTCGCCATCTCCATGGCCTTAGGGTTGGCCCTGCTTGAGTAGTTGTGGCTGCTGGGAATGGGGGTGCTAGGTTAGGGGGTGTGGGGTATGTGGGTCCTTATGCTACCAAGCCTAGGGGGTGTGTTAAATTATATTTGTTAGTATATAATTGTAGGCTTGGTAGACGTTACTGAACATTACTGTAGAGGGTACAATACCCCTCTTTGTATCCCTCTCTCTTCTTTTCTAAATCCTCTTTTCTCTCGTCAAACTCTCCCTCCTAGTTCTCCTAGCTCCTAAAACCTCACGCCACTTTCGTGGCGTCCTAGTTCCTAGTTTTGACACAGAGCACCAGTTTTTTAATCAGCGTAAAAATTAATGGTAACTCTGAATAATCAGACAAAAAGTCTCTTGTTACTCTGATTTTTCAAACTTTTTTTAAGGGGCGACTCTGATGGCCATACCAAGGGATAACAAACAAGTCTGATGAATCAGACACCCCCAAAACCAATTTGGGGCCTGGTACGTATGATACATTTGGTTTTCTTCTACAGACATAAGGGTTGCTTGTTAGAGAAGTTGGAAAAAGTGTGACTAGGAATAGGGGAGGTGAGATACTGTTGAAAGGGCTTCTGAAGTCAGGACAAAATGCCCTGAAGTGCTGTATATCAGGGTGTTCTTTTAGGGTCGTCCTATTTTTTCAGCTTTTGATTTTTCCTAGGCATGAATTTTAGGGGTTGTCATTTGAGAAGGCCTGAAATATTGTATGTTCTTGTTTTGGTCACCCTGAATTATCAGCCTTAACGGATTTCCAGCCTGAAACAGAATCCTATCTGACTGGTCGAGGCGAGCTGGAGCAGCTGTGAGGGGCTCAGGGGCGTGACCAGGGCCTCAGATTCGTTTTGGCGCACGCTGATCGCTCAGGGTCCCCCCCTCGTAGCTCTCTGTTTTTTCAGGCCTTGCAAAAAAAATTACGCTGATCAATCAGGGTGTTGTATAAATTTCGTGCTGAATAAACAGGGTCAACTATAGAAAACACGCTGTTTAAAACCCGACGGCAAAATAGCAGAGGGGGGTCCCTCTCTTGATTGTTGAGTGGGTGAAAAAAAGTCCCAAAACCTGGCGAAAAAATGAAACGTCCCAGAGCCCCGAAATTTGTAACTGTCCGAAAACAAAAGAGGATTGCACAAATCCTATTGGTTGCGCGAGAGTATCAGCCAATGTGGGCTCGAGGCGAAAATATATTGACTGCCTGGCGCGTCGTGCAGCCCCCCTGCGACGTTTGTCGCAGGCCATATGGGCCTCAGCTTTTTGGTGGGAGGCTTCATCTGCTGTGTTGGTGGAGGGCCAACAGCTTGGGAGAGCAAGAAGCAAGTGGACCAAGCATTGAGCTCGGTGGAGTCCGAGTACATGGCACTCTTCCGTGCCATAAGGGAGGTTGTGTGGCAGCGGCATTTGCTAGCTGAATTGGGGGAGGAGCAGCAAGGCCCTACCCCACTCTACTGTGATAGCCAAGGTGCTATTGCATTGGCTAAGAACCCGGTTCTTCATGGCCTTACCAAGCACATGAAGGTGAAGTGGCATTGGGTGAGGAGCATGGTAACCGCGGGTGAAATGGAGTTGCACTACGTGAAGACGACGGCGCAGCCAGCTGATATGATGACCAAGAGGCTGGTTGAGCAGCAGCATTGGAAGTGTTGCAAGCTTGCTGGGATGGCTCTGAACTAAGGGGAGCAGATTCTAAGGCCAACAATCCGAGGGGGAGTTTGTTGGTGCAACCCTATGGCTTGCACTCGGCTTGTCGTCCTTGTTTGTGTGTGTGCATGCATGGCATGGAATGAATTGTGAGTCTATGTCATTGCTATCCAGTGCTTGTGTGTGTGTTTGAATGGTGTATCACAATGTGGTTTGTGTCGGTCAAGACATTAGCGAGTTTCTACAACTCGCATGTCAAGTCGTCGTTTGTGTGTCGCATGTGAGGCAGCGTGCATGCTCTATGGTACGCTATGAGCTGTGGTTTGTTTATATGATCGTGGCTGACTCCGGCCTGCAATAGGGATGAGCGGCTCACCCTACGTTGTCGCTACGGTATGGTGTGCTGCGACTGAGCAAGCCTTGCTGGTGGCGCAAAAGCACCCGTTTCTGGCTACTGCTTGCCTGGATGGGCACGTGGGAGCATCTGTGAAGTGCGGCAGGGAGTGGGAAGCA